ATATATATATATATATATATATATACACACATACACACACACACACACACACACACACATAATTTTTTTCTATTCAGATTAATGTCAGCTACTTGAGTTCGTTAAGCTTTGGTGCTGATATACATCAAGGGAATAGGAAAAGCAGTCACATACAGGAACGACAGTAATAGATGTTTCCTGCATCTGTAGTTTGGGTTTTTGGTCAGTGGCTGTTTACTTCAGTAGGTTGTGAAAGACATTTGACTGTTGGAAGAGATCAAAAGTATAGCATTTCTATTTTCTGCCGTCTAGTTTATAAATATGCTTTGAAGGATATGAGCAATAATTGACTAGCTCAGTGTTGTGGTGATTGATAAGCTTTCTTGTTAAGAGGATGTGTCGGGTAATTAGTAAGTTAGGCGTTTTTAACTTACTTTTCTTCCCCTCTGACTACTTACTGTAGCATCATGGGTTTAGCTTTGTGTTGACTTGACCTCAATTCATCTCATCATCAGCTTCAATTAACATTCAATATAGAAAACATGCCTTGGATCATATGGTCATATCTTCATAGGCCAAAATACTTTACTTGACTATTTGTGAAAGTTGTTTCTTTTCCTTTTTTTTTTTTTTTTTTTTTTTTTAGAGAGAGATTTTTGCTATATACAAACTGCCCTTGGTCATTTTCTCTCTTTGCAGAACAAACTGCCCAGCTGATTCCATCCACTGCTCTGATATTTCCTGTATTATAATTTGTCTCCAGTTCAATCATTTCCACTAAATGCCCAAACTTTCTTGCCACTGCCTGTCAGTTTCACATGACAGCATGCTAGACTGCCTCAATGTACCCAAACTGGAACTCATTATCTTTCTTGTCAAACGTGCTTCTTCATGGAGTCCCAAATGGTTATTAATGTCACTGTCAAGCAATCTAAATCAAAAAGCCCCCAAAGCACTCTCATTTCCTCAACCTTGTGCTTCCAGATGTGAGTCTTGTTGATTAACTCTCTTAACACAGGGGCCAGCAGGTGGCATAGTGGTTAAGGTGTTGGATTCCAGTGTGGCTAACTGCAGCTCAGTTCTGAAACCAGTAGCTTGAAACTCACACCAGGCAAGTACATGTGTGTGCCTGAAATCCTGAGAGGAGAATGGAGGAGAAGAGATTGTGGCATGGCCATTCTCCCTGGGGAGTGATTTCTTGCTTTCTGTCTGTCTGTCCTTGTCTTTCTGGCAAGTGCACATACCCTACAGCAAAAAAATCTCTCAAAAATAAACAAACAAACAAATAAATACTACACAAAAGAATTCTGGAAAATAGGCTGGAAAGAAAGGAATAAAGTAGGCATACAAATAAGTGAATTTCAAGAAAAGTGAAATAGTCAGGGTTAAAGGCTACAAAGAAGTCCAGTCATATGAACAGTAAAACAGATTAATGGATTTGTGAATTAGGACATATTTGGTTACATTTCCACGACATGGTTCAATAGAGTTATGATTGTAAATTACTATTTACGGAATGACTGAGGACCAAGTAGGAGGTGAGAAAGTGAAAATAGTGACTGTAGGGAACCAGCAGTTAGCATAATGGCTATGTCGCTGGACTCCCACGTAGTCGACTGCGGTTCATGTCCCAGACCCAGTGGCTTAAAACTCATGCCGGGCACGTGTGCATGCGTGCCCAAGATCCCAAGAGGAGAACGGAGGAGAAGGGATTGCGGCGTGACCGTCCCCCCTGCGGGGTGATTTCTCGCTTTCTGTCTCTATGTCTCTCTCTGTTTGTCTGGCGAGCGCACGCGCCCTATAGCGAAAATCTCTCCAAAAGAAAATAGTAACTGTAGATGGTAGACCATATTTTGATGGAATATAGACATTTAAAGAAAGCAAAAGAACAAGGCAGTTGCCCCAAGGTTTGAATTTTGTTGAAGAGTGGATTATCACTCTTTTTCATTTGTTTGTTTGTTATAGGGCAAATGTGCTTGACAGAGAGAGAGAGATAGACAGAGGGAGAGAGAGAAGATAAAATGTTAGAAAGCACCTTCAAGGTGCTTTCCTTCTCCTCCATTCTCCTTTTGGGATTCTGGCATGCGTGCACACATGCCTGGCATGTTTTTCAAGTTGCCAGGAGCAAGACACAAAACACACAGTTGGCCATATGGGATTTGGCTGCCTTAACCACCATGCCACTGGCTGGCATAATTACCACTCTTTAAACTGAGATATATGCACTACTTGTGGTCCACAAAAAACTTTACTAAGTACATAGGATCAGGATTATTTTAAAAGATTCAATGTCCGGATCTTCAACTCTTTTCCAGTATTAGGTGGCTGGAGAACTTTTAGTTAAAATGTCATGTGTGTCTTGTTCTTCTCTCTCTTTTTGCAACCATGCTTCTTTTACTTTGTAAAACAAAGTCATATATTACCTCTAATCTGATGTTTATCACAGCAGAGTATAAAATCATGGGGACATAACACAAAAGAAACATTTGTATTGATCATTAGCTATTGAATGTCTTCAGTGACTCAGAAACACATTTCACTGAATACCAGGAGACTTCTAATTCTTTGTTTTCAAAGCAATTGAAGAAACCTATAGATCATTACAATATAAAGTTTGATAATACATCCTCATGTGATTTTGGGGATTTACTCTGAAATCAATTTAGTAGCTTAGTTGTATGGCTAAGAACAAAACTTCCATTCCCACCTGTCCTATTCCACATTGTTATGAACAATTTTTCTCAGTACTCATATAAACAATACAGTAGGAATTAAGTTTGGGATGAACACTGTCATCAGCCATAAGTAATACTTATTCATTGTTACATAAACAAAAATTAAAAGGATCCCACAGGATACAACGGAAAGTGTTAGGAAAGAGGAGAGCATCGGCAGTCAGGATTGAGGAGCGTTGAGTAGTATGGGAGTGAGAACGCATGAGACGGAAGTGTGGAAGGGGCTTGCATTTTGTGCTGGTCAGTTGTTTAATAAGGCCAAATATCTGTGAGTCTCATTTTTCCTCAGGATGCGTGACTTTCTGAAAGACACTAAAGATAGCTGTAACTATGAAGGGATGGATTCTGAAAAGAACCCTCTTATCAGATGGTGGGAGGAGATTCAGCACAGCTGAGAAAACTCACCCGTAATGAAATAAGCGCTTGACTTTTTTCTTAATGCCGTATTCTCAGTGCTTAGAACATTGCCTGGCACAGGAAGCACAGGCATTTTCTGTCGAACGAATTGGTAGTGATTGGATGTAGCTAAAACTCCTGAGTCTTCACTTAGTGGAACTAGTTTGAGTGGCCAATTTTTAAAAATATTTATTGTATTTATTACTGTTATTTAAAAATTTGCTATTGGATATATGTGTATGGAGAGTGAGAGAGGAGAGAGAGAGCAAGTCAGAAAACAAGCAGCTGTTCCAGCTCTGGGTCTTGAACCACTGTCTGCCATGTTGGAGTCCTATGTATTAACCACCACACCACCTGCTGGCCCCAAAGTAATCAATTTTTAATAACGCTTATTTGAATTTATGTTTTATTATTTACTCCATCTAGAGAAGAACAAAAATTGGGCCCACTTATATATTCGTTTATATAATTCAGTTTGCCATTCTTTTCTGAATAAATCTCACATATCTATCATAGCTAAAAATAAGGGATAAAGCTGTTACATTTTTACCAAAAGAAAAGAGAAAAGAAAAATCATAACCTAAATGACAAATAATATAAATTAAATTCCATATACTAGAATTAAATGGATTAATATGTAGGAGAGAAAATATGTTTGTGTGTCTGGATGACAGTAGAAAAATAATAAGCAAACAGTATTAATCAGACTTGATGTCATGGGGTTGACTGTCATGAAGTTGAAATTGTCACAGATTTAATTTTAAATAAGTCAGAATTATCACATCAAATGAGAAGACTAGTAATACTCTTCAAATAACATTCTTAGAAATGTGGGATGATGTCCAAGTTCAGAACTATCTTTTTTAAACATTTATTATTATTATTATTTTCCATGTGTCCAAGGCATGAACCAGGCAAGGACACTGATTCAAAGCCAAGCTGGGATGAACAAGGGGTTGCTTTGTCCCTGACTGATATAAGATGGGGATCACCAGCCAGATGCCACTCGACTCAGACCCAGGAAAAATCTTTATTTTTTTGTTTGTGATTTTCTAGCTGCTGGGTCTGGTTCTTGAAACAGGGTCAGCCATGTGGGAATCCAAGTACCTTAAGCAACACACCACCTGCTGGCCTCTTAAGTACTATTTTTAAAGTAAAAGACTTGGTGATATTTCCTATAAATCAAAATGACTACAATTAACATATGTTTTAGTCAAGAGTTGTTTAGCTGCAATTTATAGAAACCCAATTTCAATTGGTCTTAACCAAAAGTTGAAATGTATTGGCTTATAAAACTAGGAAAGAACAAGGTGCAGGGCTTAGCTGAATGCAAGGGATTAAATAACATCTTCAAGATTCTACTCTTTCTTTCTCTCTTGGCTTTGCAGTCTTTTTTTGAGATTTTTGCCTTAGGGTGCGTGCACTCGCCAGAGACAGAGAGAGAGAGAGAGAGAGAGAGAGAGACAGACAGTGAGAGAGAAAATGAAAAATCACCCCCAATGGGGGGGGGCATGCCATAATCCCTTTTCCATTCTCCTCCCAGGATCTTGGGCATGCATGCACACACCCCCAGCCTCAGTTTCAAGCCACTGGCCCAGGACTCAAACCATGGTTGGGCCTATGGGAGTCCCGCAATGTAACTGCTATGCCATTTGCTGGTCCTGGCTTTGTAGTCTTTTGTGTTGTATTTTTTTTTTTAGACACTTTTCCCACTTGGTGATTAAGTGATCCTCAAAAGTCTAAGCTTGCATTGTACTTAGTTTTTATAAATTTTGAAGAAGATGATGTGTTTTTTACTGATAGATTTAACAAAGAAAGGAGATGGCACTCTTATGAAACTCCTGGACCAGGTATCCATCTAGCCATGAAACGTTCTTGAAACTCAGCACAGCAGAGGACTCTGAGTAATCAGAACAGGGTTCTTGTATCCCTGTGGAAAAAGTTGTTGTTTTAGTTCATTGGCGTTGCTCTAATAACATACCACATAGTGTGTAATTTATAAACAATAGAAATTTATTTCTCACAGTTGTGGAGCCTGGAAAGTCCCAAATCAAGCTACTAGGTTTAGTGTTAGGCGAGAGCTGTTCTCTCTGCTTCCAAGATGGTGATTTGTTCCTGAATCCTCCAGAGTGGAGAAACCTCAAGCCCTTTTATAAATTTGCAGATCCCATTTATAAAATCAGACTTCTTGTGACTCAATCACTTCCCAAATGTCACACTTTAATACTGCTGTTTTGGGGATTGAACTTGAACACAAATTTTGGAGGGAGTACCATCATTCAAACAATAGCAGTTAGTGACAGAGACATCCCTGTGAATCATATGGATTAAAAATCTCCCCAAATATGGGCGGGCTCTGTGGCCTGGTGGTTGTAGCCAGATCCCACATGGTTGACCCTGTGGTTTGAGTCCTGAACCTGACAGCTTGAGAAACACTCAGGACACATGTGCTTGTGTGCCCAAATCCTGAAAGGGATGAAAGATGGGGGAGAAGGGGCTGTGGCATGACCATTTTCTGTGTGGAATGTTTTCTCCCCTCTCTCTTTGTCTATGGCAAGTGCACATGACCTCTAGCAAACACACAAACACATACACACACACATAGACACACACACACATAAACCACAAAAAAGTAACATAACCTCTAAAATATTTTCACGTATTATTTTGTACTAATTACATTATAAAAATTGAAGCATTGAGACCAGCAGTTAGCATAATGGCTATGTCGCTGGACTCCCATGTAGTTGACTGTGGTTCAAGTCCTGGACCCGGCGGCTTAAACTCATGCTGGGCACGTGTGCGTGCATGCCCAAGATCCCGAGAGGAGAATGGAGAAGGGATTGCGGTGTGGCCATCCCCCCTGTGGGGTGATTTCTTGCTTTCTGTCTCTCTGTCTCTCTCTGTCTTTCTGGCGAGCACATGTGCCCGGTAGCGAAAACTCTCCAAAAAAGAAAAAAAAAAAGAAAAAAAAATTGAAGCATTGAAGCATTAAATTGGTTAAGCAGATGCCACAGAGAAAATGAAATGTACACTGGCTCAATGAACACTGAATCTCTAGGAACATCCCAGAGATAGTAGTTCTGAGAATGTAGATTATTTTCCCTAAAGTCAGACAGGATTTGAGGTTTCTTCCATTTTGCTCTGTTTTCTGTGCTGAAGCTTGCTCATTAGCTACAGTCCATGGGTAGGGAGAGAGAGGAAATAACAAGGAAAGTGAATCCCATATAAGGAAATGATCTGGAAGTAATCCCCATCATCCCCTTCCTATTTCTAATGGTCAGAACATAGACACACGGCCATTCATGGTAGGAAGGGAGGCTGTGGCAAATGGGAGATAGCTGGGCAGCCTTCATTGACATGATTTCAAAGTGGTTCTGTACTGAAAGGAAGGTCACAGTGTATAATGGGACGACTCGTCTCTGCAGCGCTTCTTTTTAACTTTTGCAAACATCTATAGGGCACATTAAAATTTACTTTTACTATGGAAAAAATTGCTATGATATGTCTTTATATAGGAAAACAGAAAGGATAATTTCTGTTCTATAGTAACAAAATGTTGCAGTAGAAGTGGAAAGTCAGACAGAAAGAGAAAGAGACGGGTATTTTTGATAGGATCTCACTTTGTCATAATCTTCCTGCCCTAACCTCCCAGTTAGCTGGAATTCCAGGTGTATGCTACTGCACCTGGTCTGTTCAGTTGATCTGCAATCAACGTTTACCTCTCATGAAGCCTCAGGTTTGAGCAGCGGCACCGCACCACTTTGAGCAGTGCCACCCAGTGCCATTGCTGGGGTAGTACATTCTAAAGTCCTTCATAAAAACTATGGTAATCTTGGGGAACCAGCAGTTAGCATAATGGCTATGTCGCTGGACTCCCACGTAGTCGACCGCGGTTCGTGTCCCGGACCCGGTGGCTTAAAAAACTCACGCCAGGCGCGTGTGCGTGCGTGCCCAAGATCCCGAGAGGAGAATGGAGGAGAAGGGATTGCGGCGTGACCATCCCCCCTGGGGGGTGATTTCTCGCTTTCTGTCTCTATGTCTCTCTCTGTCTGTCTGGCGAGCGCACGCGCCCTATAGCAAAAACCTCTCCAAAAAAAAAAAAAAACCCAAAAAACCAAAATAAAACTATGGTAATCTTGAGAGGTGCTTCATTTTTTGATATTACTGTGCATATTTAAAAATATAAAGTATGTTCATATTCATTCCAAATATTATAATTTTCACTTTTATTTTAATAAGAATATTGATGTTCCCAAAAGAATTACAATTATTTTGGTCTTGTACTTTTAATGTCCTCAGTTAGTTTATTTACATTTTTAGAAAATATGAAATGTAATAGCGAGAAGAGGAGATTTAAATGTTTAGAGCACAAAGTAATGATAAATGTACGAGATGGTGGGTGGATTAGTTTATTGCACTGATTTGATCATTACATACTGTGTGAATGTGTGTATATATATATATAACCCACACTGAACTCCATGAATATGTTTAACTCTTACATGTCAATTGAAAAGCAATAACAATAAAGAAAATACGGAACTTGGTATATTGCATTTGTAAAGAGTCAAATTGTTGTACTACCTACTGTAAAAGGGTAGATGAAAAATTCAAGGCCATTGAAATTGCAAGATTACCTCTCTTTTTAAATGCTAAAAGTTACAGAGCTGGAAAAAGTATAATTTAGTATTACCCACTTGCCAAAAGAAAAAAAAAATGCCTGACTTGGATTTCATCCAGGAAGACATCTGTTTGCTTGGAACTAATAATAGCACAGCCCTAATGATGTGCCAAACAAGTTACTTTAATAGAAATGCTTTGTTTTGAGAGGTTAAGTTTGGTTACTCAGCAGAACAGCTCTGTTTATAAGGTTATGTTTGAATCTTCAACTAGGGAAGTTTGGAAAACTTAAGGGAAATTGCTGTATATTTTAAAGTCAAAGCTAAACTTGTGGGTGCACATAATCTCTAAATGACCTTTCAGGATTAAGCACTTTTAGAAGGTAGATGCGAAGTAGTAGCATATCATTACTCAAGTTCTAGAAGAGATATTAGAGGCTGTCCATCATTTCCAAAAGCATGCATATTCATTCAAATGCCTAGTGACTATTTCTCAAAATCTACCCCAAATAGAAGTTCTATTTAGTTCATTTTGGTGCCATTATTTCTCACTTCCGATTTTCCTCTAAAATTCCAAAAGTTTTGTTTAAAGTGAAGAAGAAAAATTTAAATATTTGAATGTTTGGTCTGTGAACATCTGGATGTTTATAATAACAGAAGTGATAGAATTTCTGATTTTATTCTTAGCATGCTAGCAACTTTGTGAAAAACACTGCCATGTGAACAAAACCAAAAGCATGTCTTAGGGAAAGCCATTTATAAGCTTTTTAGGCTTGTTGCCCAACTTTAGTGATTACTCTATCCATTTCTTGGTGTTCCAGTGCTGTTTTCATTTAAACTCTAGATCAATGGCTAATATGCATTTTGAAATATATCTAAATACATCCAATATGACCTTGGGTGTTAATTGAGAGGTCTTGTCTAAACCAACAATGAGAAACTCAACTGTCTCTTTTAATAGAATTAAATACTAGAGTGTAACTATTGTAAGAAAATACTTAGTATTTGACATTTTGCTATCTTGAACTAGAATGTTAATAATATAATTGAAATAGGGTAAAATTATATTAAGGTTTCTATGTAAAAAATTCTATGCAAAGTCATGTTGTAAGATTAAACATTTCCTAGAAATGTTTGAAATTGAAAGCTGTTATGTGTATTAGATCACAATTTTGTATTAATTGGCCATGTCCTAAAGGCACACAAGATTCTAAATACTGCGTAGTCAGAGGAATTTTTTCTGGCCAAGGTTGGCTTCTCATGTTGTCACTGACCATGGGAAACAGATTTTGACCCAAACAAATGCTAAGGTTATTTCAGGTACTTTTTGGGACACCTGGATCTTTTTCTGAATAAATTAATCTCTACTGAAATAATTTTCCAAGACCAGACTATTTTTGGTGA